CCTTCTGTCCCTCTTATTATTCTTTATTTCATAGGTCCTCATGGTTGTATGGCAGCGAAGCATCAGTTCAAATGGCTGATGTACTGCTGTTGTTGTTTGTTGAGTTTGTAAAGGAGAACCTCATGGTTGACCTTGTCGAACGCTTTACTTGAATCGGATTTCACGCGCAGAAGTTGAACGTAAGTTCAGGCTGTTAAAATTGCATAAAGCCACTGGAGCAGATCGACTTCCTCTAACCCTTCTAAAATATTGGGGACGAGTGCAATCTACTAATGAAGGTATGGGAGCACGCGACTGTCCCAGCTGACGATGCACTCCGTTATAGTTCCAATTTTCGAAAGAGTTTCACGTTGGGAATGCGGTAACCATAGAGGAATCATTTTGAACTCAATTGCATCTAAATTGTTTGCGTATAATTCTCCACAGACTGGTTGCCACCCGTGAAAGCCAGATTCGCGATGAGCAAGCCGGGTTTCCACAATATCGAGAGTAAGTTGACCACATATTTACGTTGTGTCGATTGTTGGGACACCGCCATATTTATTGGTGACCCACCATGTTCGGTGGATCGATGCACTTTTTGGGACTGTCTACTCAGGAAAAGTGTGCCCAAGAAATATGTAAACGCCAAAAGAGCGCTGTACGCGCGTAGTTCGGGCAGAGTGAGGGTTTATGACGAACTGTCACCGCCCTTCAATATCTCCAACGATGTTGGACAAGGTTACCTGCTATCACCTTTCCTCTTTGGCTTCGCCATTGAAAAAGTCATGGAAACGGTGTTCACCGGGAACGACTTAAAATATGTAGGGTTTCTTCCTGGTGAACGACTTCTTGACTTGGAGTATGCCGATGACATTGCCCTAATCTGTGACAGCTCCCAAACGTGCCAAGCAACATTACACAGGTTAGCATTGATTGTCAATCATTTTGAGCTATGCTTTGCACCCTCGAAATGCAAAGTCATTCTCCAAGTTTGACCCTTTGTAGTGATCCGGTAGAAGTCGTTCAGAAATTTAAGTACTTAAGCAGCTATATCTGCGCTAGTTGAATAGAAGATGAGATCACAAATCGCATAGCAGGAGCTCGAGACGATTTTACCAATCTCCGCTACCTGTGGCGCCAGCGCGACATCACTCGCGCTGAAGGGCAGAGGGTACAATGTTGCTGTCCGTTCAACCCTCCCGTACGGTTGCGAAACCTGGCTAATCAGATCAGTAAACCTAAAGGTCCGACGATCGCTACCTTAACGATTTATCTCATGTCTGGTCAGGACACCGCGTAAGCAATGAGCGTGTTCGGCATCGTGTATTTGATGCAGGAAGAGCGAGTGAACCCCTCCGCACCATTATATCACGCACCAGGTTCCGATAGCTTGGCCACGTGCTGTGCATGCCAGCACACAGACCCGCCTAGTGCGTTGTTCGCGCTACCGGAGTGTGGATAAAAGAGAAAGACAAGCGATAACTTGGTTAACTCCCTCACTTTGAAGTTGGCGTCGGTCGGTACTTGCCGGCTGAAGGGCGGAGGTCCAAAGGACGGTGAGCATGTTTGGTTGGATACACTTGTTGACATGGCTAGGAGCCGACTTTAATGGCGTTGTGAGTGTTTTTTGTCCCCTTACCTCCCTTTTAGTTTCCATCCGACCATCATCTCATACCCGATGCACTCTATGATGCCCAGCATTATCTTACTCGTTTTTTTCCAGCTTTCCTAGTCTACAACGTTTAATATCTCCTATCCTTTTTGAATTATGCCACACTAGATCAAATGTGTTTCTCACCAGCAATTTCCGTGTGTTAAATATATGATGACGATGAATGAACAATGAATTTGTACGGGTTAAGAAGCGTTGTTTTACAAATCCCGTTGAATAGTTGATGGGGATATCGAAATAACAATAATGCTAGTAAAACAGTTAATACTTCAAATATGAAAATAAGGACAACGTTTGATCTGCCGTAGTCCTGTAATACGCTTAGATTCACAGCACCCGCAATTAACATCAAATAATTCCATGGTAAACTCCAGGTGTAGGATGGAGATGTAGTGCTAAGTGACAAATATTAAGTGGATGAGTGCGTCATCCAACCGTCTTTTAAATACTGTTAGTGTCGGTGCAGAAACGACCGATTCTGGGAGAGCATTCCACAGGTGACAGACATGAATGGAAAAGAAATTTCTGCGGCACTACTCCAGGCGTCTATACTGTACAGCGAGTTTCAATGAGTGGCCGCCCAGTGTTGTATTCGTTATGAGTCGCAGTAAAGGGCGGCACACATGATGTGGGTTTTGCAGGATCAAGTATGCCATAATCAGGTCGCCTCGTAGTCTGCAATAGCTTCCACTGCATACCCACAATCGTTGCAGCTTCTCCTGGTATGAAAGCTTGCGCATTCCACTTATGTGGCTGCTCCAGTGCATTAAGGTCTTGTTTTAGCCATGGATGCGAGGCTTGAATTGCGTATTCGACATAGGGGCGAACATACACATTTGTCGAAATGTGGAGTTTATTTGTCCAAACGCCCGTCGCAACAGCCCGTGTTGGTTCCCAGCCCTTGAGGCCTTTTGGGATTGCCTGGAGCAACCCAAGTCATCTTGAACCAAGACACGTTCCATGCCGCTACGAGTAGCTGCTCTAATGTCGGATGAAAAGTACCTTGCATTTACTGACGTTGAAAATTTTTGGGTTGTCCATTGATGCACCGTATCGAGGTCACTCTGAAGCAAATGCTGGTCGGCGTTCGCTTGGATCCTGCGCCAAATTTTGATTTCATCGGCAAACATTAGGAAGTTTGAAGCGATCCCCTGTGCAACGTCACCAGAAACAAACGTGGACCTGGAAATGAGCCTTGTGGCACACCACACTCAACTTGTATGGCGTCTGATAAAGCCGATCTCGTAATGCTGGAGCTTGGAGTGTAGTATCCGATGGTATAACGGTCGAAAGCCTTCGAAAAATCTAGGTAGATCACTTTAACGCCTTCTCCAGCATCAACTGACACGGTACAACTACTGCGTGCGATTAGTAAATCCGTTGTGCGTGACCGCCGTCGGCGGAAACCGTGCTGCTCTAGCGTGATGATGTTTTCCAGACAGCGCACGCCAGTGCATAGGCAACTATGGATTCCATGACCGTGGAAAGTATAGAAAGAAAGGATACTGGGCGGTAGTTAGAGGGATCAGTTCTGCTTCCACCTTTGTGAATCGGGGTTATTATCCCAAGCTTCCACATAGCGGGAACTTGATTTTGGCATAAGCAGCGCTGGAAAAACTGAGCTAAAGGTCCTGCCAGTTGGCTTGCTGCTGCTTGCAGTGCCTCTGGACGAGTAGTGTCGACACCTGGCGAGCTGTGTTTGCGTAGCGACTTAAGCTTTTGCAATACAGCCTCTGCGGTAAAAGTGATGTGGGTTATTCCTAGCGAGGAGACGACAAAGGTTGGAAGATCGCCTGGTGGCAAGACCCTTTGAAACGTGGGGACATATTACTTCTGCAGCGCGTTTGCAGCTTCCACAACCGTTCTTGTTGGGCCATCGGCCGTCCTGAGTGGAGGAAATCTTTGCCTCACCTTTCTTAGGCTATTGACGCGCTTGTACAGCAGTTCGAGGTTAGCCATGAAGGTTTTTGCGATGTCGTGCTGATAGGCGGTTTTGTCTTCTCTTAGCCGTTGAGTGCAGTGGTTACATTGGGCTATGTAGTTGTCCCAAGTTTCTGGTGCTGGAGCCTCTCTACACTCATCATGCTGAGTTGCGTACTGTCATCCATTTTCGAGTTCTGCTCCTAACGAAAGAAACTGTTGCACACTTATTGCAAACTCTTATTTCTGAAGCCTCTGCAACCAGCTGGCTGAATTTGTTGACGAACTCGGACCAGAGGACTTCCGGGGGTTCTTCGACAAGGAACGACGAAGTTGGAGCGCTGACGAGCTGGCCTAATTGATCGTAGCTTTTGATGGTTCGCACAGTCTCATCGTTCTCATTCCGATATTCCGCATAGTTGAAACTGATGACTGCGTGATCACTGCTACCCAACGGGCAGTCTTAACCAACATATCAATCAATGCTCCTCGTTGGTATGCACAAGATCCAGCACAGATGGCCCGTTACCTGTTCTGAACGGAGTGGGAAAAGTGATGTGCTTGATTGTAAAGAGGAACAGTGGTTACGAGATCTTGTAGATCGGCTTTGAATTGTTCTCCGATCCTGACAGGAGTTTGTACACAATGTACATTGAAATCACTCATGATAAGTATGTGAGCGTACTTTTGTAAACTGCATCTTAAAGCAGCCGCTAAGTGACAGTCGGTCTCGGGTCCAGAGTTAGGGGGCGGTACACCAAGACAATAAGGCAAGCGTCCCTACCTTTTAACTGCAAGCAGCACCAAAGAGAGTCGGGGAACTGCGAGTCTGAATCCGCCAGGGCTTCGCACTGTAAGTCGCATCGGTAATAGAGAATTACCCCTCCTCCTTTTGTGAGCCTATCGCTCCGGATCAGCGACATACCCGTTAGCGAAAACTCAGTGTTCGTCATTCTTGTGTACAACCACGTCTCGGTGATACCGAAGACATAATATGACCCAGAAGCTGGGCGATTTTTCAGTTCGGCCAGTTTATTGAACGACCCTGAGCATCCGGATACAAGCAGGCCAGTTTTTCGGTCTCTAGGAGCATACAGATTTCGCTAACTGCTCGTTCCACGCGACGACGGCCTGTTGCATTTGATTGTGACTTTCGTGACAACGCGCCTGATTCCCATCTGTACGGCTGAGGATGCTGCAGTTGAGTTTCTCTTAATACTTCTTTTATCTAACTAATTGACTCGATCTGACTTACTTGATGTGGAACAGTTGATCTCAACGCGAACTCCGATACTCTAATTTTATCAATATTTCAAATTTTGCGAAAGAGGCACTCTATTGGCTGCGTGATATTACTCTGACCTGTGTCGGAGAATGTGTTTCAGCTGTAGTGAACATTTGGTTTGGATTTGTCTTCGTTTCACAGGCGCTGGCGGAACTTGGCGATTATGACGAGGCAGTTGAAGCTGGTCAGAAATGCCTTGGAAGTTTGAAAAATGCTGGAGTATCTACATCCGGAACTCTCGTCTCTGAAGTGAATTCCTTTCTTGCCAGATGGCGTGTTGAAGCTGAGAAATCCAACTCTGCCGAACGTTCGGCTGTTCGGAGTGCTGTATTGCGACGGTACAACGGTGACTATTATGCATGGGTACGTCTCTGTTTCGCGTCTGTCCAATGCGTGTTGTTACCTTGCTTAGTCGTTATTCAGCTAGTCTCCATGAACTTTCCGCGAGTTTTCTTCAGAATCAGTTTCTAAGAAACATGCCACGCGAGGAAACCGTGGGCCGTGTTACTCCACACAACACCGAATGACTGACGTGTCCTCCGGATTACTAGCGAAAGGGCTAACTGCTCCAAGAGTGGATCGCATGTGGTGCGAATGTTTGCATACCCCAATGCGTTGCTTCTTTCATTCTTAAAAATGTGAACATCGAAACGTTTGCAAGTTGGTTGCCCAATTCGGCAATACGTAGCACGAGCTGCCAGTATTTCTGGTTGTTGCCAGCTGAGCCCTCTGAACTGGAGTCCCATGATCACATCTGATTTGAATACGTCAGGCCAATGCAGCCATGTAAATGCTAACGTTGCGATGGCAGCCGGTCAGTGCGTCTCTGATGCCTTAGACTTGTACACTCGAACTTTGGTTAATTGCTTTTCCCTCGGATTTGGGCGCCCAGCTCTCGTCCATTCATGGTGAACATAGAAATCAACAGGCAGGCGTCCATGCCGTCAGATGATCCCTTTGGGCGTCAACTTGTTGCTACAAACGGCGGAACAGATGAACTGACGCAAGCTAACGCTAGCCGCTGCTATCACATACCTTCATCTCCCTCCCTCCTTGTCGAACTTCACTACTTGCCACTGTTCAGGTGTATGCACTCTTGCTATGGAGAATGGAGGCTACAGTCCAAGCTGGACCGGGTCTTGCTATGAGCCTGAAACAGACCACCCAAGTTGCATCTGCAGAACAGGACTTATCATGACTGACAGATTTTGATCGAAACCTGGCTATCATTCTACATTTGGGATAAAGAAAAGTCGACGAGCATGTATAAAAATTATATTTGATAGCCAACGAATGTTGCCAGTAGTATATATATATATATATATATATATATATATATATATATATATATGTAGTGCGGTAAAATTCTCTGTTTGTAGTTTAAGATAGCCGTGTTTCTTCTTTTCATTGATTATTAGCGTCACCCGCCAACCTAAGGATTAGTTGGCCATTCTTGTCAATTGTCGAGCCTGTATTCTATACAAACAACTCAAAAGATTAAGTTAGCCAAGTCACACGAACGTACATTTATTTCCATATTAATAAATAATAGGTCTTTGCATCGATAACGGGCAGAATATCGGCATCTCTTCTTGAGTGAACGTTTTACTGAAACTGTACGCACTGCTTATCTGACACAGAATACTACAGCACCACACGGAGAGCCTAAACGTTTATCTCGGATTCTCTCGATTCTCCCCGTTCATTCTCACTCGCAGTCCGACGACGAAGATGAGGTTGAAAAGCTACCAATTTCGGTGTGGTCGAACAGTCTCGCGGAGAATATGATGTCTTTGCACGAAGAACTTGAAGCCTTCGGAGAGAAAATGCCGGAGCCAAAATCTTCCAGGTCCCGCACATCGCGCCGTTTGGAGCCAGTTCCGGACGAATACTCAGACGAGGAGAAATTCGAATGAATTACCATTATACTCCTGTATATATTCTAGTTTCCTGCACATATTTTCATATACATAATATTATGAGTACTACTCAACTCATTGGATAATATTCTACCTAAATGATTACTAAGCAGCACCCAGTATACTGCACGATTGAATTGCATGGGTGCATTTGCTGAGTAACTATTCCCATTCTGTTGCATAAGCAGATTTGTACCAACCGGGAAAACGTGAAGAGCACTTCGAGACGCTGGTCTTTGTCGTGCTGCGTAATTTGGTTTATAGGCTTCGTGATTGTTTTCGTCAAGAACTGCTTGCCTACCAGAGAGGATCCACTTGGGCGATCTTGATTACACAGTCCCTCCGACTTAACAAATTGATCATGGTTACCCATATGGAACGCTAAATGTTTCAGCCGCAGCGAAATCGTTGAAGCTGCAGGGGCTGCATCACTCCACCCTCCCGGTTTCAAAGTAATTCATAATCGCTCGCCTTAGATTTTATTTACAGATACAGAGAATTGGGCAGTATCGCCCGTTTTGTCAGTTAGACTGCACGTTTGAAATGGGCTTCTGTTTTGGAACTCGGCAAAGCTCCTTGCTGCTTCAAGATCGGGACGAGCACTTCCGGGATGCGAATCGTACCGTCCTACAAGAGAAAAAAGTGTCATGCATCACTCCAGATCAGGGGGCTCTTAGATCTTTGAAATTCGAGAAATGTCCGGTTAAAAGGGAACGTTGCGTGTGCTTACCTTATTTTGATGCGTCTCGATTATCGCTTTCATCATTCGTGGTACCGCGCATGCTGTTCCGTTGAGCTGTGGGAAGAAATATGGGCATCGTAAGTCAGCAGAATGTGCCCATTAGAATATATGATAGGTCAGTTCTGGTGAAAAGATTCTTCAAATAACCTAGATAGATAGATATTGCCTACTGGCACTTCAAACTAATAAGATTAAAGAACCCAAGGGAATACGACGTAGACTGACCGTATAAGCGAACGGATTGTCACCGGATGGCGTTGACCACCGAATATTCAAGCGCTTCGATTGGTAATCCAAGCAGTTGGAAGTGCTCGAGATCTACAGCAAGAGGAAAATAATGGTTATGTTCTAGTACAGGCTACGGACAAGTCAAATTCTTTCATAAAAGAGTGATTGTGAATTTCTGCTTCAGAGCACATCGCCTCCGCTGGAAAATGAAACAGGGCAACTAAAGTCACTAGTTTAAGGATGAACTTCATCTCTTTACCAAGGCCGCTATCCTCATTTGACCAGAGCCTTCAATGTGAAAAGTGGGGTGGCGTAGAAAACAACCATTAATCAACCAGTATCGATGGCGAAATCTGTTGTCTTTTGTGCGGGCTCACGAGTCCTTTGCGGACGTACACTTCTGTCTAATCAAAGAGTGCTTTGTACCAGACAAATATCTTGCGAGTTCGTGTGTGTGTGGTGAACCGATCACCAACCGTAGGCCGGATATGAAAGCTATTGTAGCGTGTGCTTTTGAACTAGGAACCTCGGTGGATGAGTTAATTTCGGACATATGTAGTGCTACTGCCTGGAGGACAATTACCAACGGATGTTTTATTCGGTTACATTAAAAACCCCTTCTATTTTGTCAGAATAATTTGCCCTGTTACGTACAAGTCCTGCTTTACCTTCAATAGATTCATTAGCGAAGGTGCCGCGATCGTCTCTCATGAGCTTCGGCGAGATACGTTCAGACGGTAGAAGACCCGGTAACTCATTCCAATGCTAGGAGTCACTTCATCTGTCTCAGATTGGAAGGTGGACTTCTGACGTTATTTGTATCACAGAGTAGTCGTGGCTAAATCTGGGTTTGCCAATAACACCAGCGGCCTTGCAACGTGTTAACACCAGATGAGTACCGCTTCAACTCTAGGGGCCATGTTGAAAAGTCATTCAGTCGAGATACGCTGCTCCCTGTTTCTTCCATGCACACAAAATATTTCGACAGATGGTGGGACGATGGCTAGCGCACTAGGCCCGTTGTTGGCAGACGTGTTGTTCATGGGCATAACTGAAGTGGAACCAGATAAGGTAGGTGACGATGTACTGCTAATTATAGATCCATGTGAGGGCATTGTGCATGATACCAAGGCACATAACAATGACGTGTGACCCTTAGCACGACATTCAACTCACAGATCATAAAGCATATTCAACACGGCCAATAGTACGATTGGCGTAGTGGCACAGCGTATGGAAAATACAAAAAACATACATAGGTGGAGGGAAAAAACCGGTGTTCATGGAAATAGTGGGTCACAACAAATCCGCCATTATGCACTATTTCTTGCCATATCCGAGTGTTTCCAGCCATGTGTGTTCCGGATCTTTCACACTCCAGCTAAGGAGCCGAGAGCGCCCGACGACGGCTGACTTTGACGTTGGCTTCTTCGTGTTCCTGGCCCAAGTCATTTGCTGGCCACCTTGCTTTCGCTTCCAGCCAACTTCTGCGTGCGCGCAGAGGGTACGGCGAGGTAAGTGATGGGTAGGCATGCGAAAAACATGTTCAAGCCACTGAAGTATGCGCAGAGAAATTATGCTGCTTACTGTCTGACCTCAAAATCCTTCGTCGAATATCTTCATTCCCAGAGTGATGTTGCCATCGTACACCGGCAATGCTCCGAAGGCAGCGGTGATCAAAAACAGACAGCCTCTGAACGTCTTTTGCGCGAACAGGCCAAGCTCACAGCCATAGAGGAGAACCGCTCGCACTGTGGCATTGTGAACTCGGTACTTCAGATAGACTCAGATCACCTCGACGCCAGAGATGGCGGAGATCGGCAAAAGCAATCCGAGCCTTGGAGACGCGCGGAGACCTCAGTAGCAAAGTGGACGTGTCAACAGTCACGTTCTACGGGCTCCACGGCACAAACGCTCCCTCGTTCGGACATTGTTTCGTCTGGTCCACATGGTTTGCAATGAATGTTATCCGTTGTAATTGATACAGTTCCTCATTGAAGCAGCTAAGTGAGTGCGAACGAGCTACTGTCCATAGCACACGTCATTGTGTGGAGGACAAGCGCTTCACTGCAAAGCGCAATCAGATGGAAAACGGTTGATTATACCCACGGGACTGCTGCTACGTGTTCGAGTAAGCTATCGACACAAAGCAGCGTATGCTCCATTGTTTATGGTAGTTTATTTGTATCTGTGAAGTTAGCTGTGTTAAGCGCACTGAAATCGGTGAACATATCCTCATGTGATTGCGCAGGCGGATGGGATCCTTAGCGGTGTAATCGAGTGATTCGTGAAACCGAGCCGCTTTAACTTGCATTGGACAGTGAACACCAGGTTAACTCCTATGCGTTATTTGCTGGCGTTCATGCCCTAGTGAAAACTCGTTCTCAAATTAGTTGAAACCATTACTGAACACAAAAGCAGGTGACTGTGAAAGAAAGACCACATCAGCTGACCTCACATTACTCAGATTCTCCGGAATATCGGCTGCGTAATTGCGATTAATAAAGCGTAAGATGATGGAATCTTTCGACGAATTGCGTCTTCCGATACTCTCACTTAAAGTTCTAACTGGAATTTCTGGTCCCAACTAGTTTCGCTCATAAGAACAGCATTGCGTCGTTTTGACAAAGCTTGGGAAAGTTGCATGCTCACACGCAACGAGCCAGATCACTGATTTCTCACTGCGCAAAGTCCGCGAATGTTGTCTTGCTACTCGTGCATGGAAAAACGCAAACCAGAATCCAGAGTATGCCGCTAAGACGCTATCTTATCTTTTGCCATTGGAGTACTACAGCGACCGCTTGCATTGTGTAAATGAGCTATGGAAGACATTCGCTGGGGCGGGCCGCGTTGTGCATTCGCAGTAGTATACATCGCAAACACCAATATACACGGCGCGAAAGATGCGAATGGGCAGTATGTAAAAGGACAGAAACCAGGGATACCATCGGTTATGCGAATGTGAGCGTTTACTGCGCGCAACGCTGAACAGCAACCTGTGTGTGGGGCCCCGTTTTGCAATGGGGTAATGGTTTATAACGGGTATAACATAAATCTTGACAAGTGCCGTAGGATGGTTAGAGAGGAAATTACAGGAGAACAACAGTGTCGATAGCAGAACGCGCAAGATACACGACTAAGCAAAACGTTTACAGTGGCACAGATATGCGTAATTTTGCCTGGAGGATTATGACACCATCCACTGTTTGTTCTGCATTAATGCCATCATGTGATGATCATGGGGCTATAGCACATAGTGTAAATGTGTCAGGGTATCGTCAAGGCGTTTTCAAACAATGGTATGGTGGGGAGGGGCACCAATTACATGCGATGGGGGGAGTTCCAGGGTTGACACTCGGAGGAAGAAATTTTCGTAGACATTCTAGTCGACTGTAATGCTTGATCAACTTGGATTGTTGGCCCCTCAGTAATGCGTTTTGGCTGAGTTTCCTAAGATAGTGGTGGTTGGTTTTTTTCAGGATCTGATACACCATTATGTGATCACCCCGTAGACGCCGTGCAATTTTAGGATTTTCAGCCTGGGTTGATAGGGAGGGTGGTACGCGCCTTTTGCGTTTTTCGTCGTCCTGCAATACCGAGCCCAGTGAGGTGGCTTTTCTGCCATGGTTGCCATGCTCGGATAGCGTAATCCGCGTGCGGCCTCAAGTGCGCGCCCAGCATTTTCGGAAACACAGACGTCGAACTTCCTGAATTCTCTACGAAGCAGGCCGAAATGATGGTTCGCTTTCTTTGATTGCTTTTCGGTCTATCCCAAGCAACCAAGGTCATCTTGCAAGAGTACACCGAGATCAACTCATGAGAAATCCGCGTAGGATTTGTGACCATAGCCGGTAGTTGCGACTGCTCTGATGGCGCATGCCGAGAACTTTGCACTTAGTGGTGTTGAACTGCAGCATGTTATCGATGGACCATGTACATGCTTTATCTAGACCACTCTGCAGTGCTGTGTGACCCTCCATTGTAGTGATAGAATGCCACATCTTTAAATCACCGGCAAATAGTAGGAAGTTTGAAGATAGTACCCTCGCGAGATTATTTATGAAGACCAGGAACAGGCAGGGCCCGAGTACCGAGCCGAGGCACGCCGCAATGAACTTCTATTGGTTCCGACAAGGTACTGCGACGTTTAATGAGTAAGTTGCTTATTCAGCGCAAAACGGTATCGCCGATTCCATAACTCTAAAATGCCATCGAGAAATTCAAATAGACGACATCTACACGTACAACAGCATACACAAGCTATCAATAACCTGGCAGTGTATGGTCGATTTTTGCTAAGTCCGTGCTGCTTCGGAGTGATAATTTTGTTACTCTCAGGATATCCTATGAGTGCATCAGCGAAAATGGGCTTCATGAACTTGAAGATCACTAGAAATTGTGTTGCCAGCCGATGATTCGCTGGTTCTGCACGATTACCACTTTTGCATATTGAAGTAACGTGTTTCCACATCGTGGGAACTTGCGTCTCGTTAAGATATCGTTGAAAGAGTATTGTTAACGGTTCAGCTTAACTCATGGCAGCCACTTTCAACGCCTGGTGCGAACGCCATCTGCACCAAATAAGCTGTACCAGCGCAACAATCGAGATCGTATAGCGTGCGGTCGCATTGTTTCCGTTTTTCTACTAAACTTGCGATTGCAGAGCAAGATTTTATCGCACATACGTTTGATTACACTCATACGAATCGTATTATCAAGACCTATATGCTGTTTTCAATTATGCGGATTTAACTTTCGAGGTTTAAACGCGTCCCGTTAGTACACAGTCTTTACACGTTTACTGTGGAAACTCACGCGCACAATAGTATTTTATTTTGTCTACACAACATTGGTTGTGATCTTATTTTGAAGGTAACGATGAGAAGCACTCGACGAACCTAAGATCACTCTTGACGGTAGCTGTGTAAGGCAGTTACAGCTTAATTTGTTTCCACTGCACGGTCTTCTCGCTCAATTGTGCCATTGTGCAACTACCCGCGGCCTGCTTGCAACCGATAGCGTGCGACGGCTTTATCGGTGACCTGCGTTATTTGCAGTGGGAACCAAAAGCCTGTGGAATAGACTCGCCG